TTTAACTAAAAATGCATTTTTTTTAAACGAGTGGAAACTCTGACGTGTAAGAGGATCAGCTTATAATTGTAATTATACATCATTTAAAAATATGTAAAAACTTTGCCTTTTATTTTTGAGTTTTAAAGTGATCGATTTAAAATAATCAGTGAAGTAGGTTATCATTCTAAACTATTAAACATGTAAATGTTGAATTAACCTTTGCCTTGCAGGCAGTGTAGTCTAGACCAGTTGGGTGGGGGATGGGTTAAATTTCAATAGATTGATTTTGTAATTTAAACTGATTAGACAGGTTTTCTTAAAGCTGTCTTCACAAACATCTTCAGTTTTTATATTTTGCTCGTTCAAAAACAAATAAAGAAAGGAATTGATTGGGTAACAGTGCTGAACAGAGTGTGCTTTGGTTTACTGTATGTTGTGAAGGAGAAGGAGTTAGGGAGTAAAGCTCTGAGGCTCTGTCTGCCTTTGTGCTGGGTGATGTAATCAAGCCAGCCAAGAGGGAATTAAACAATATTTGGACAAGTCTGAGACGCTGCTTTAGGGGGAAAAAAAAATCAAGTATCTCATTATGAGCAAAATATTTCTGTACGAGTTGAAAAGCCCGCAAGATGCTGACTTAACATGAACGTGTGCTTTCTGTGCATACTCCAATAATTCACTTTATTTAATTTCAAACATGCAAACACAACTCATGAGTCAGACGTCAGGCAAATGATCCGACTTTACTGAGGCAGATAGACCTCATTCAAAACAGAGCCTCGAGTCAGGTCAGAAGAGGACTATCAGAACACTCATAAATTCATGAATTCCCTTAAAATTCTTCTGCACGTTCCAAATTCCTGGACCAGCTAATCTGTTACAATGCACACACCTGCTCTGGATGAGGGAGTGTGTAGTGTAAGGCGCTGATGGACAGACCACAGGGAAAACAAGGCGACATTGTTGCTGATTCGCTGAAGKTCACAGACATTGCTGCGTGCCAAGTCTGGCACCAACTCACACAAGGCAGGCATGTGCAACGTATAGAGCACTAAATCAACACCTCAGCGAAGGAGATGCTGGATTTTGATTTGGACCTGCAGTCGTATTCATTAAGCAAAGAGAGCAAATATCCTCTTTTCTTCCATCACAAAAACTATAGCACAAAACTTGGTTTTGGCCTCCACTTTTCTCGCTCATTTTTCCAGCGGAACGTCACACAATGGGGCTTTCATCTCCCTCTTTCTCACTCTCTCCCCTCCAGATGWCAGGTACAGTGGGAGGGTCTGTGCTGCTGGATGCCGTCTGACACTTTTCAAAAACAACGATAACAAGCTGCAGGCTTGTCTTTAAGCTGTCCAGCCCAGGAGCTCCCACAGCAAACACACCCAGCGACCACGAACCAAACAACAAAAAGGATAACGCCCACAAACCATCAAACATACAATATTATTGACCACTCTATGAAGCAAACTTTTCTATGCTGTACGTTGAGCTGTTGGGTGTCACATCAAAAATACACAGACGAGCATATCAAGAGGTTAATTAAAATACTGGGAACAAAAAAGAAATATAAATCCAAAAGCATTATTTAGCTTTAAACAAATCCATCATCTCTATAACAGTTGGTTCCTAAACTTTTAAATTTATAACCCACACAAGAGGAGTTGCAGAGACTTGTCCCAACAAAAATCTTATTAACTGTTTTATTAATATAAACATCATTATCCATTTATGACCAGTGTTAAACGTTTTAAAAATCCTACTTTCAGACCCAATGAATGAGTCAATGTCTTCTTTATATTTACTGACTTGTGAATACAAATGTGCCATTCTTTTGTCCTTTCTTCAGAATAACTGATTAGTGACATGGATCATTTATTTTAATGTACATTTTAACATAATGAAAACATACCCCCACCCAAAAAAAAAAAAATTATGCAAAAGCTTACCTAAATGGCATTTTACTGTTGTAAAAGGTACCTGACTATTTTTTTTCCTTACCAGAAACACTTTGCTTCACGCTGATTATTTTAGTTCATTGTGTTAAAAAAAAACAAATCTTACTTTTCATAGTCGTGCTTGCAGTAGAGCAGGCGGTCCCTGCAGTAACAGGTCCCGCTGAGCGCGCTCAGACACACGGCGCATTTGACGCAGGTCTCGTGCCAGGAGCGCTCGTTTACGCGCAGCAGGAAGCGGTCGGCGATAGGAGACTCGCAGCCCGCGCACAGCTCTCCCCCTCCTCTGTAATCTGGACCTGGTAGGAGCAAATCAGCGCGCACGTATACAGTTACAACTAGAAGGCCAAAGTCAGCTCTGTGTGTTTAAATAATCATGTCATCTGGCACAAATCAACTTCTTAAAAAAAGGGTGGGGAAAGAGAAATATGTCCCCAACTGTTCCAGCTGCAGAGGTTTTTTCAAAAATGTTAAGTAATTTTAATATGTGTTACTTCCTACATMATGACATTTTAAAACAAATCTTAAGACGGAGAGCATGATTTTTTTATAAGCAAGATCAAAAGTGAAGGCTGTGATTATAAATGTGAAGAAATGGAATGTTTGTATTATTTATTTTCACAACATTTTTGCTGTTTGAAAACTGATTTTTGCGCCACTTTATATTTATTATAATAAATTCGTACAAGGAGGGAAAATCGCGTAAATTCTTGTAGTAAAATGGTTTGATAAGTTACAAAGTTTTCTTGACTGGATGTTTTTTTTTTGTTTGCTTAATTTGCTTTTTGCATGTTGATCAACATGTGAGACTGACCGAAAGGCGTGGAGGATGGAGGCTGCTGCAAACAGGACTGCTGGTTCTCCTCTGTTTTCATAACTTCTCTCCTTCCCTCAGTGTGATCGCTGAAGAGAAAGACAAAAACAAGTTCCTCTCAATTAAAATACAGCAGAACTACTAGAATATCAGCTACACGGTCGAAAATAAACATAAAGACACAGCCCGAGGCTGGAAGAAAAAAAAAAGAAAAAAAAACCCTCTATCACTCTATTTTATTAACGATTTTTTGCAATAACGAGTTTTAGATAAAAAGTGTTTTATTACAAACACACGTGGATGTGGTGTAAGTTGGCAAATGTATTTAAAATAAAAGAGAGAAAAATAATAAAATGCTGTTTATTTTTAATATATGCAATTCAGAATACTTTACAAAAAATAAAAAAAATAAAAAACAAGTAGATTTTACTGTTGATCTCAGGATGACCATGTAAAATGTGCCACAAAAAGCCAAGAGAGAAGTCATGGAGACATGGGATAATTGTTATAAAATACTAGAAAATCCCAGAAAACAAAATATGTAAATTAGGTTATCCTAATTTGGCAATTTTCTTAAGYGTGTTGAACAAATCGACATATTTGTGCTAATTGGCTGTCAGCTTAACAGCCTGATAATTAACTAAACAAAATATTTTTTAAAGGTTATAAAAGTTCCTGTACAGGAAATGGTTTCATAAGCGTGTCTGTCACATAATTAGTAGCCTATTACTGTTTCAAAAACATGAATCTCAAATAACAATAATTGTCATATTCATTTTATAACTGTATTTGATTGCCGCACTCAAAACTGAAAGAAATGAACATGTTTCAGCAAAAAACATAGGAATAATCATAAAAATCGTTTGCGCAGCCCCATTTGTCTTTAAAATAAGCTTTAGGTTTCCAAAATAAAAGTCGCGCGCTTTATTCTATTTTACCTGCCTTTCTTGTAAAAACACGAGCAGAGTGGAGAAACAAGGAACCATTTCCAACCCTTGGAGTCTGACATCACTGACAACCTGTTCCCGAGTTGCGGACTCCTTACCTTGAGGTGAAACACACTCCTCCAGAAATCTCCGTGGGTAACATGAAAACCTGGAGAAAACTTTCAGCTCAGATAAAAGAGGCGCGAGGGAGGATCGTCCCACGTGCAGCTCACGGTTCGACCTGTGCGCTGCTAGAAGGGAGAAAATTCCAAMACCATGGTGACCCGAAGCGCGCTCTGTTGTGTCTCCTGGTTCTCTCCGGYTGCCGTGTGCGCGCTTTCACTTGTTTTGTGCGTAAAAAGGAGGCAGAGAGGGAGGAGATGGACAGACAAGGAGGGAGGGAGAAGGTGCGGAAAATGATGAGGGGAAGATGAGCGATAATGCRGCTTATTGATAACTCCGTTTGGGAGGATCGCTTGCATTTTGTGTTCAAGGTTAGACGGATACTTCTAAGGGCGCAGCTGAAATGGAAAACTTGTGACTTACCAGAAATCGGCCATGGTTCTAATAATAAATCAGATGCTTTAACTTCTTAATTCTATAAAGGGATGAATGTCCAAAGAACAAAGGCAAATGAAGTTGAGCTCTGGCATCACCAGCTTTTAGATGATAGAAATGATTCACTTCACATTTCATACTCAACAAATAGGCTTATAGCTTAATGGATAAAAAAAATGTTTGTGTAAGTTGAAACAAATGTTTTAAACTGTAAACAGAAATAAAAAGGTTTATTCCTCCTTTACCATCATGTTTTTTCACATTTTTTTTCTCCCCACACCAAAATACCGCCCCCTTGCGTCTAAACTGGAAAGGTGCACKGCTCAAATTTTCACTCATGAAGGCAATTTTGTCCTCTAGAACAGTGGTTCCCAAACTTTTCAGCTTTTGACCCACAAAATAACAGTAACAGAGACCTGTGCCCCCAGCTATTTTTGGATGATAAACATTTGTATCAGGTCAACAAAACATGGGCATAGTAACAATGTTTATTATACCACATTTATCCATTTTCAATATACTAACCTCAGTAATTTGGAACAACTAAGGCAAAAAAAATGTAATTAATTCAGAAAATCTTTTCAGGACCCCACCTTGATGTTTCGGGACCCCACTTTGGGTCCCGACCCCAACTTTGGGAAACACTGCTCTAGAAACTACATAAACACTTTCAAACCTTCAAACGTTATTACAGCTTTTAACAAGAAAAAACTTTTTGTGCCATCTCTCCAAATCCTAACCTGTATTGTACATTGAAATACTGTATATTCATACACAAACGTGTCTTGTCTGATATTTACATCATGTAACTGAATGGTTGACAGATCAACCTGATTAAATGAATAAAGTGGTTAGGGCATTCCAATAACTCTTAAAAAAACGGACACCCTCCAGTGTTTCAAATGTAAGTTTGAAAAATGCAACTTTTTGCACATTTAAATATTGTGTTCTGAAAGAGTGGAGCAATATGCACTAAAATGGGACAATGTTTTTCATCCTATATATAAAAACATACACAAATCTAATAATCAGTGTTATAATTACAGACCTCGGGTGTATGCACAGTCACTGCAGTCTCTAGAATTGTTATTCTTGATTAGACAAAGAGCTGATCATCCTTCCCCGAGTGACTGCGTCTCAGCTTCAGACCAGACAGGATCTTTTGAGCAGGTGAGGTCAGGTTGTGCTCAAAAGGAACGTTCTTTGGCGACGAACTGAGATTCTGTCCAGTGCAGTGTCGGTTATTGCTCATGTTTATGTTCAGGTCAGCTTGCCACCACGTTTCTACCTCTTCAGTAGGCCTCTGTGTTGTACCGGAGGATGTTTCAGCTGCAGGAGATGTAACCGCCGAGTCCAGTCCCAGCATGTACTCCACAACCTCTCGAGGGCTCAACGGGCCGTCCTTAATACCCTYAGCTGTAGTCGTAACCTGGTGGGGCTGCTGAGTGTTGTTCCAGTGGCCATCTGAGTTTTGTGAACATCTCTGTGTTTCTGGCTCTGGAGAGGGACTGYGGCTGCTGTCTGCACTCTCCTGAGAGCCCCTCTTTGGACGAGCTGCCTGTCTCGTCGCACAGTGTGGAAAAGAGAGTCGAGTTCCTGCGTTATGATGCCGGTAGTACTTCACAGGTTGTCTGGTGAAGCGATAGTGTGGTTGGGTACCTACGTCAGGGACTGACCCTCTCACTGACACATGCTGGGGATTACTTGATGATGCTCTCACAGCCAGGACTAGGGTAAAAAAAAAAGGGCAGGGACAACCATGTAATTTACAAACACAAATTATTGATTATATTATCAAACTAAAAATTAATTCTGGATAATAGTGTAAAAATATCCTTTGATGGTTTAAAAGGAAGCAAATCATTTTTAAAATGTTCAGATTAGAGGCTGACATGAAAATGCGCAGGTTCAGTTGTGAGTTGAAGCATTAAAGTTGCTGAACGCTCAWGATGTGAAACACAGCAAGAAAGAAGCCAGCAAAGAGTAGCAAGAGCATCTTAGGCAGGAAAAATCAAGGTACTCTTAATTTTTGCTTTAATATTAAAATTGAAATGACTTCTCAAGAGTAGCACCCAACCTAACAAATTATTCTCACGATGGTTAAAGTTCACTGTTTTCTTCATCATTCCATTAACATGTTTCTTAACAAAAGTTAAACAGAACTAAAGAGTAGGCTATAACAGAGAAGTTTATTTCTAAAAATAACTGGAGGAAATGTATAGAGTACTGACAAAAATAAAACTCTCTGTGAGAAATTAAATAAACTACTTAGGACCCTAAAAATATCAGAAAGGTTGAGTACTATGAGTATTAATAAAACATGTACGGAAATTTACTTTAATAGACTGGCAAATATAAACTCAAATATCTACAAATTACATAAGACACCACCAATCCTGCTATTTTCTGTACCAGCTATTCTGTGCAGGGTCACAGGGAAGCTGAAGCCTTTCTCCAGCAGTCACTGTACTAGAGGCAGGGTACAACTGGACAGGTCACAAGTCTATCAGGGTCACACAAATAAGACAGACAACCATTCATGCACTCACTCACACCTAATGCTAATTTATAGTTATCAGTTAACCTAGAATGCATGTTTTTGCTCTGTGTGCACAAGGAGAATATGCAAACCCCTCTGCAGAAAGGCTGCAGACAGGAGGTGAAACTAAAACCTTGCTGTGAGGGTGACAGCTTTAACCACTGTGCTACCAAAGCACCAATAATGTACTTCATCAGAAATGACTACTCTATTGCTACATCTGCCTACCTGCTCTCTCATAGGCTTCAGGGCCAAGCTGGTCCACTGCCTCATTGGATGAAGACTTGTCAGAAATATAACCCTCGCTCGAGTCTCTCTTGAAAGCTCGGCTCTGTTGGAATGACACAGGTTGAGTGGSGGCTTTCTGTTTTCTGATCACCTCTAACCCTCCAGCACCATGTGCTGATAAGGCAATGACTGCATCGGGCACAAATAAAACTTTGGAGCTGTTGGCCTTGTAGCTCCTGAGACATTTCTTTCATCCACAGAAAACGTCTACAGTGAAGCATCCAGCTTTCCTGTGATAAAGTGTGGGCAGCGCACCGAAAACTGAAACTTGAAAAGATACCATGGAAAGCAAAGTTTAAGCAGAAACACACAGCCGGTGAATAGCTCATTAACCTTGTAAGAAAAAAAGCACAAGGTTAWGGGTGTAAAGCCTTTAACACAACAGAGGAGTGCAACACGTGCATAAAGAAAAATGTCAGACAATTTATTCTTTTAATGCTAAAGTAAAGTACTTACTTCTAGTGAGGGTGGACGCTCTCTGGTGGACAGGTCATGCTCCAGGTCAGCATCAACTCCATCCAGAGGACAGGAAGCTCTWGGAGGAGTGTCTGGAAGAGGTGCTGTGGGCACTGGGGGAGGGGGTGTTACGGTGCCCTGCTCCAAGCCAAAGATCTTGTCATGGTGCGTGATGAGGAACTCMACAAGTACAGCCTGGTAGCTCGTCTCCAAAAGGGCAATCATTGACATGTCTGTGGACACTAGGGGGCGCAATAATGTCGGTCCAAACACAATACCCAAATTGCTAGGGGACATTTTGTTGTCGTAGTTCTCTGAAACTCTGTTGAGACAAAAGCATAAACAAATATGGGCAAAATCTAATGTAAAAAAAATCACAACATGTATGCTGCAGGAAACGTGTTAATAAAAAATGTCACTCAGCAGCATGCTCACTTTTGTAGATGGGAAATAAGGTGCTGCAATGTGTTGTAGCAATAGAAAGGAAGCTTCTGCAGTAGCTTTTGCAGGTTATGAATAATGTCTATGATCTCATTAGGGTCTGGTGAAGTTTCCTTTTCATTCAGGTGCTGAATGGTTCTTCCCACCACAATAAAGTCATTGTACAAGTCAAAAGTTAGTAGAGGTTCTGGAAGCTGAAAGAGACAATACTGAGATTGTTCACTGTARTATTAGAAAATTACTGCAACCAAACATTATACACACTAAAATTGTCAGACAAATCACTKTTGTGGGCAAGCATTCTTTTCTGCCCCCTTTTAATCATGTGTCAAGACAAGCGGTTTTGCAAAAACACCTTAAAAGTACCTCTTTGAAGAAGTGCTTCAGAATGGAGGTGATGTCATGTGGCGAGAGGTCAGAGAGGTCCACTTGCTCCTTTTGAGTCTCAAAGCTCTGACAGAGCTTCTGAATGCGAGGCTTTGCTCCACTCACACGATATACCCCCTCAGAAAACAAAAGCAGGCAAAAAGATTAGACAGCAGGTCAAACTTGACAAGCCACGGTGCATCTTCTGACTTCAGCGATGGCCATCAATACCTGAACGGAAAGAGCCCGGTTCTCTATTTCGGATGTGCAGTGCATCACCACAAATGGCACCTCATCTGGTCTGTCTCGTAAAAGCACAGATAGGTCTACTCCAAACACCGTCCCCTTTTTGTTCTCACACTCTAACTGACACATCTCCATGCACTTCCTGTGGAAAGCCAGCCCACACTGAATGCATCAGAGGAAAAGAACAGATTCAGTTATGTTTTTAGAAACCTTTTCTCTTATGTCCATACAATTTTATATTTTGCAAATGTTGCCTCATACCTCCTCACATTCAACCCCACTGACAACAATGTAGTTTTCACACTGCTTGCATTTAATCATCTTGCTTTTTGTCTTCTTGAGTCGGTGTGTTAGCGCTGCTCGAGAAAACATTCGCGTTTTTACAGACTGGCTATCAGTATACTCTGCAGGGAGAAAAAGAAGACAGTTTTATGAGGTTTACTATCATTGCTGGTACAGATAAATCACTCATGGAAGTGTCGAGGGATGTAACCAACCTGATTCTAACACAGCATCTCGGTCGTCCAGGTCATCTGACGACACTGTCAAAGTAGATAATGTTTTTGGGAGCCTCCTGTGTGCTGTGTGCATTTCCAAAGAGAGAAAAAAATACGCAATACAGAGGAAAATGTTACATAATTCTGATTTGCATGCAAAAAATTAGTCATGGAAAAAAAATGTGCATTTGTTTCTACCAGGGCTGGACAGAGATTCAGAACTGCCTCCAAAACTTTCACTGTCACTGTAGCCTGTTTTCTCTAAAGTGCACAGAGACAAAAACTGAATTAAAAACAAAAACATGCTTGTTACAACCGTCATGGTCTTATCTTGTGAAAAACTTACTGGCATCACTGGATCTTCTGCATGAATTATCGTCTAGCATAAGAGACGGGTCCTGCACAGGGCTGAAAACGGTGCCGGTTTTTCGTTTGTTGCTATCAAAACAAAAATTTTAAAATAATGGATTTGGTGTGTACTAGCAGAAGCACACATWCATTTAGCTGAAATRATAAGTCGATTCTACCTTTTGCCATGAGGTGCATACTCCTGGAAAGTGAAGATCTGGAGAGGCTGCACAGGGCGACGCTTGCTGAGGACATAAAGCAGATAAGGCTCTCCAGGCTCCACAGTTCTGCATGTCACCTCCAGGTTGTGATAACCAAGGGGAATAGGCTCTGTCTGCTGCCGCTGGTAGAAGAACATGTTGACTGTGGCCTGATGCAAGGAAATGTGAGATTAAAGTAAGAATTTTGTCAACAAAAGGCATTTCATTTAAGCACAAAACAAAATTGTAAAATTACCTTTTAATTTAGTAAAACTTAAATGTGAGTTAAAAGTTGATACAATTTTTAGATTGAAAAACACAAATACTATATGCAGTCAAATAAAAAAAAATTAGCGTTGTATAACATTTACACTAGTGAATGATAATATAACATCCTTGCAGAGAGAGAAAACCTGTGAGATTGGATATATTTACCATAAACACAGGTTAAACCAGTATAGATATAGTACACGATCAAGGAACAACATTTGTCAGATCCTGATTTTCTATATTTCGAACACAAACTGACATAAAGACAAATGTATACATACATATATATATTTAATTTTATACTAACCTCCTTGAGCACAGTGTCTCCTTGACAAATGAGCTTCCGAATGTGAGAAATAATTCTTTCTTTGACCTTCACCAGCTCATCTTGGTGAATATTGGCATCACTCACACACTGTCTGTAGAGAAGCTCCGTCTCCGTTACCTGGACAGGAATGTGTGATAAATGAGCTGAAATTGTCTATAGCTCATAGCTTATTGAAAACATTGTCAACGTGAATATGTTCCACAATTAGAGCTACACAAAATATTTAAGTATGTGACTTGTTTATGCGTTGAATCGACRAGACATTAACCTTTGTCTTGGCTTCATCTTTGGACTTCCTCCTTTTATCAAGCGTTTTAACTCCAGCTGTGTCGTCCACAGCTTTAGCAGAACTTGCTTTAGCTTTTTCTAGCTCRTCACAGCGCTGGAAATATTGATGTTTGGCCTTTTTAAGAGTCGACACTGCTTCATTCTGATAACAAYCATACACATCAAAAGAATAGACACAAATGACTTTTTTTGGACACACTTTTAAACGTTCAAGTACTAAATAATGCATACTCAGCTTGCATCAGCACAAATACTGTATATATGGTTATAAAGTCTTATACAGTCACAAAGGTGAGCTGAATAAGAGCAGGTAGAGAATTAAGAAATATATCATGTGCCAGGTACAATTCATCTTTTATAGACATCAGCAAGGTCTTACGTTGCCAACATTTTGCTCTAAACACGTCCAAACGCACTCAGAAAGAAGTTGTGACTTGAATTAAAAAACATGTGTTTCAACAAATAGATCTTCATTTTAGTAGAAAAAAAARAGAAAAAAAGAAGCCGAATTTACTTACCATCTTCCTTTGTTCTCTTGCCCATTGCTCTTTAAATTCCCTGCGCCACTTATCGATCTCATTCCTCTTAGCAGCCAAAGCCTTTATAATAAAATAATGGATTAGGCATACTCTTTAAAAAATGTTTAAAGAAAATTATTACTTTGAGTATGTGTGGACTTTTATACCTGATAGCAACGGTTTTGTAGCAGTTCATAGGTCCTCCTAGAGGTCACACTGTTTTTGATGTCTTGCTCCAAAGCCATGGTGTAGATGTACTGTAGTGGCATCATCTCCTACACAGGCAAGAACAAACTTATAGTATTTCTGTGCAAAGGTGCTGCAAGGTCAAAATCTGCAGATTTTTTAGTTTTGTTACAACCTATTCCAGCACTGATTGTTCTAATCATACCCCCCCCAAAAAGTCATACTTTCGGCATATTGACCATAGGACCATACCTGCTGTGCCACATTGATCTTTGCTCCTTCAGCTGTTTTTATCACGTTTTTTGAAAATTCTTGTTCTGTTAACAAAATAAATAAAAAATAAAACCACCAATAAGTTTTCCGTTACATGTTACATTTACATCGATGCTTGAATGAATTCTTATTTTAATGTTAAAGGTTTCATTTCTGTGAAACATTATGGACACAGTAAAAGTGCATTTTCAATCAGATAACCCAGACCTTCAAGAAAAAAATAATTGTGAAACTTTCTTAAACTCATTACTTTTTACATTTTGATTTTAACTCATAAGTAAATTTTATTAAAGCTGGGTTACTTAGTTAAAGAACAATCTAAAAATAGTATTTTTATTGTGTTTATGTTTGAAACTAAATCTGATAAACATATATTACCTGACTGCTCTTTACAAGTTATTATCCGGTTAAAAAATATTCAGAAAGAAGTTTGTAACCTGAAAACATTTGCTTAGCTTCACAGGAACTAATGAGGAATAAAATTTTGACTAATTATTAATGATAAAGCAGTGATAAGTTAATAGTCCATTTGAAATGATAGAGAAATAAATCAAAGACTTAATGCTGAGGAACCATTTATTAATGATAAACTCCATGTTACAGTTAATGAACAGGTAATGTTTGATTAATGATCAGGTACAAGAAGAATCAACGAGCACATGTCACAACACATGTCTTCATATGTAACTAACCTTTAAATTAATGTTACCTAATCATGAGCCGTTTTAAAAATATGACCAGGAGTTCATCACTTTGCAACTAATTAGCAATTAGTCCCTCATTAATTCCATATTAGTTCCTATTGATCATTTTTGTGGCCCTTRTTGTAAAATGGACACTATGTTGTTGTCATCAGGTAACTTGTAGTGTTTTTCTAGTCTTTGTAATCAGCAGATTGTGTTGTGTTGCTCCACCTAGCAATTACTCATCAGTTGCTGTTGCCTAATGTTGTTCAAAACACAGCAGAGTTGGGTGACTGTATTTCGACTGCTTGCAAGAGACTTGTAATCTTTATATCCTTTTCTGGACACGAGCACCTGTTCAGGCTGACACGAGGGTAATCACCCCCTCCTCCTATCAGATAATCTTTAATCCTGTTTCTTCGTGCGTCGTTCACTGGTGTGAGTGCACGCCACCAGATACTTCCAGTGGGTACATTAATGCAGAAAATGAACTGCTGTTTACACAACAGACAGTATAAACTAGGTTCAGCTTCTCTGAGTCCTACTGTAGCAAAATGACAGTATAGCTGCTTCAGCTTTAGAGAATTTAGGGGTAAWGTCACACCTATTAATGGAAGTGAAACATCCCCAAACTTCGAGCCAATAAATAGCGGCGCTTTTCTAAAACGACTTCCTACATGATGGATAACAGCACACTTAAATTTTAAAACAACCCTCATATTTACGCCTTTGTGTGCATGTTATATTCAAATGTGCAACCTTCACGATCATCATTTGCATGCTGTGATACTATCRTACTTCCTTTACTCAGTTTTGTGTACTCACCCAAGCTGATTCTCTTCTCCATCCAGGCCAGAAGGTCTTTGGCATAGCGGCACCACAACTTGGCATACTGCAGTGCCGTCTCCACTCCATCCTCACAGCGAAAGAGGGCCAAGTCTGCATCCTGGGCTGTGAGGGAGTACATCAGCATCACTGTAGGATCTGCACACTTGGAGCTGTGTCCAGGGATGTCACAGAGTCCACTGGGCTACAACCGACAGCTTTTCTGTCCTGCAAAACTCAGTCAGCCCCCAACCTCAAAGAAACACCTGTTTCTTTTATAGTATCAATCCCAAGCGTCACTGAATCATACTAGGTGAAGCTAATTAAAAAAATAATCAAATGAAGCTAAAGAAAATATACACAAACCCAATACAGGAATCAGTGACTGCAAGTGGCAAGTCATAGCTTCGGTTATAGCTGCTCCTCTGAGTAAAAATCTTGTGGTTTCCAGGAGGTTTCAACAGAATGTAAGAATTTCTTGCAACCAAACACAATCCATGTATACTGTAGCTTTCTGGCAAACAAAATGAGGACGTGATCTGAGAGAGGAGGCTTTCCATCCACCAAASACAAACTGCTCTCGCTAAACAACTTCCCTTCTCTTCTCTCTTCCTCTCTTTTCCTGTCCCCTCCCCCTCACACCTGTTCACTACGGTCAGCTATAAAGAGATGAGCCGCACTGTTAGAGCAGACACACAACKCAGAGCCAGCGGGCAGCATCAGACAGCAGCATGTCACGGCTTTACTGCGGTCCAGGCTGGGAGGGTGTTAACACAGCAGACTCTCTGATGTGTGCTTGGCAGTCACATGACCACTTTAACMTCACCACTTTATTCAACACAAACAATAAATATTAAAAACTTAGTCAATCAGATCAAGGACTCGTGCATCTGAAAAACTTTCACTTCTCCAAGAGGTCCACGTGGTGCAGTCATTTTCAACAAGTAACTTTTCTCTAGAATTCCTGTCTTTCACATTCAAAATCTTTTTTAAAGGGGCAACATAATATAAAATCACCTTTGAGTTTTATATCATGTTATAATGTTATACTCTCATAAAAAACAAGCCCAAAGCCTTGCTCTGACTCATTCATGCATGTTTGAGAAATCCTGCAG